CCCCTTAGAGACATCATTTCCTCTCTCCTTGGTTGTGCTGATGAAGTATTTTATCTTGCTTCCAATTGAAGAACTCCTTTATTACTGTGCATGTTTTGTTCTATTCCAATCTTTATAACTCCCCTGATTTTTGTGAACTATTTTGCTTGGATAAATAAGTTTACTTGCTATTTGCTTTTCATGGTGGTCTTTTCTGTAACCAGCATTTGGTGGGAGGGAGAAAAGCTGGTGATATTAAGGGCAATCAGGGAAAGTGGCGTGTATCCTGAGTTCCCCAAAATGTTGTTCTCCCTAGACTTACAGATATTTAAAGTCTGCTGGATAAACTTAATTCTAGCCCAGTACCATTCTTGGAGGTAGATAAACAAAGGAATAAGTACTCAACCATGGGCATCATCCTGCTTCCTTTAAAGGCAGGAATCAGACTTCCCTGGAAAGGGGTTGGTTAGATCCCAGATCAGACAATCTGTCAGTGCCACAGGCCAGACAGCCATCTTTTTAGGTTTAGACAGCATCCACATACATATATCTTATGAAAGGGCATCTATAAGACAGTCCTATCAGAAAGTGCGTGCGCACAAGTGCACAAGCACACACACGCACACACACACACACACACACACACACACACACACACACACACACACACCCCATAGCCTGTCCCTGAGGCCTAAAATTCTAGTATTAAAATTTCATTCACTTAGCTTAAAGTTTTTTAGGTAAAACATTAAAAACCTCTGTGAGAGAGTGACCTTATCCAGTGGGTTTACCCCTAGGGCTCTCTCTGTTCCAGGCCCTCTTCTCTTTATATGCTTTTGGTGATTCCATCAACTCCCATGGGTTCAATGATCATATCTATGCAGATGACTCCTGTATATATCCAGCACTGCTCTCTCCTGATCTCCAGTCTCACCTCTCTATTTGCCTAACTAGTCACCTCTACTTGAATGTCCCCAAAGCATCTCAATCTCAAAATATCAAAGCTGACTTTATTATCTTTCCCTCTAGACCCTCCCCTCCTAACTTGCTGATTTCTGTTGAGAGCAGCCCCCTTTCTTCCAGGTTCACAAACTCAGAGGCTTGGTCAACCCTTCATCTCATTAGTGGCTAAGTTTCCTTGATTCTACCTCCACAAGACCTCTTGCATCTGTCTTTAATTAACACTTATGAACACCATAAGTCAAGTACCCATCACCTACTGCCTAGACCAGGGGTGGGGAAACCTATGGCCCTCAAATCACACGTGGCTTTCTAGATCCATAAGTGTGGCCTTTTGACTGAATGCAAATGTCACAGATCTTGTTCTGTAACATTTGAATTCAGTCAGAAGGCCACACTTAAGGATCTAGAAGGCCACGTGGCCTCAAGGCCATAAGTTCCCCATCCCTGGCCTAGACTATTTCCAAGTTTTCCAACAGGCCTCCCTGCATCGCTAGTAGCCCCTTTCCCCTCCCATCTGCCCTTTTATGCACAGTTGCCAAACTGGTATTCTTAAAACATAGATCTGACCATGCTACTCCCAAGCTAAGAAGCTACCAGCTCCTCTGTTTAGTATTTAAAGCCCTACCTATCTTTCTAATCTAATCATAATCCCTCTCATGTACTCAGCCTTCCAGTCAAAGTGCCCCTCTTGCTGCTCCCTATACACAACAGTCCCTTCCTCCAACTTTGCCCCTTTGCACTGGCCATTTCCCAGGCCTAGCGTGCTGCCCCTTCTTACCTCCGCTGTTCGGAATCCCTAGGTCCTTTCAAAACTCAAGTTGGGTAGCACCTGCTACAAGAGACATTTCCTGATCCCCCCCCCAGGAATTAGGACTACCTCTAATTACTATAACTAGTTGTGTCCTATATTTGTAATTTACCTTTGTTGTATCCATCCAGAAGGGAGAATTGTCCTTGTGCGCAGGGATGGCCTCATGTTTGACTTTTTGTCCCTAGAACCTAGCACACTGCTTGCCACATAGTAGGCATTTAATATATTCTTTTTGAACTAAATTGAATTATCAGTCATTGACATCTTAGGATCTTATGATTTAGAGCTAGAAAATAACATTAAGAGACCGTCTACTTTATTCCCCTCAATTGCCAGATGAGAGAACTGAAGTTAGATTAGCAAAGCACATGGTCCAAGATCACACAGGTAGTAACTATCAGAGTCAAAACTTAGAGAGCCAGGTCCCTTCTCACCAAATTCAATGCTTCTTCCACCCTCTCAGTGTGAGTAAGCTCAGCAGATATGTTCACAAGAACAAGTTTTGAGAACAAAAATAATAATTATTACTATAAAAAGCTAGCATTTATATATGCTTTACATATATGGACTCATTTGATTCTCACGACAAGCGCGAGGTAGGGGCTATTATCCCATTTATAGATGAGAAAACTGAGGCTCAGAGAGATTCAGTGACTTGCCTGGGATCACACAGCTAGTAAATATTGAACTCAGGTCTTTGTGATTCTAGTTCTAGAATTCTATCCACTATACCACTGGATATCTCACGGATAAGAGAAGGGTCAGGGAGATCAAAATATGAGGGTACTGGTTGACTGAACAACGAGAAGTAAAGGTGAAGAAAGTACAGATTGAGAGCTAATACAAGCAAATTTTATCTTCACTGGTAGTCCTGGGGCTGGCCATGAGCTTCAGTGTTCTGGGAGGATTATTGGATTGGGGAATAAGGACCCTGTACCTTTGTTACTGGCCCAAAGCCCAACCTGTCAGTCACTCCTTCCATACCCAGAGACGTAGAGACAGAGGGACTACACTGAGTTAACCTATGAGTACCTGCCCTGCCCATCTGCCTATCACTTAACAGAAGGGCTGACTTTCGGTTACACTCAGTTACATCCCAGTAATGCCATCTGTATGTTATATTTTCCCATAGTTACTGGCTGAGCCAAAATCTAGCATTGAATCATAGAATGTTAGAACTGGAAGGACTATTATGATATTAGCGTTTGGAAGGACTACAGGGAATATCTAATACAATGAACCCGTTTTAGCCATGGGGAAATTGAAACCCAAATTGGGGAAGAAACTTGCCCAAGCCATTTATTGGCACATCTGAGACTAGAACCCAGATGACCTGACCCAACAACTTGACACATTTAAATTCAGTGCCTACTATGTGGAGAGAACTGGGCTCCATGATGGGAGAGATACAGACTTCATATAATGTAGACATCCCCGCCCTTGTGTAGCTCACGGCCTAGTAGGGAATATGACAGACAGACAGGTAGACAGACAGACAGACAGACAGACAGACAGACAGACAGACAGACAGATAGATAGATAGATAGATAGATAGATAGATAGATAGATAGATAGATAGATAGATAGATAGAGATTGCCAAAATACTAAACAGAATTCAATAGATTTTTGAGCTGGAAGGGACTTTAAAGATCATTTAGTCCAGCCCTCTCAACTTACATATTTTTAAAAAATTTGAAGTCTAGAGAGGCTTAGTGATTTGTCTAACAACAACACATAGGTAGGAAATAGCCGAGCTGGGGCTTGACCTCAGGTCCTCTGACTCAAAATCCTTTACTCTTTCTACTATAGGACCTGATTGAGGGAGTAACTAGGTGGCACAATGAACAGACCACTGGGCCTGGAGTCAGGGACACTCATCTTCCTGAGTTCAGATCTGACCCTAGATACTTCCTAGCTGTGTGACCCTGGGCAGGTCACTCACCCCCGTTCGCCCCAGTTTCTTCATCTGTGAGATGAGCTGGAGAAGGAAATGGCAAACCACTCCAGTATCTTTGCCAAAAAAAACTCCAAATGGGGTCACAAAGAGTCCAATATGACTGAAACAACTGAACAACAACAAAATGGTTGAGATACAAAATAAGGGGGTTTTTGAGGTACAAGAGGGGAAAAGGCATAATCAGGGAGGACTTGGTGGAAAAGGTGGCATTTAAGTTGGAGTTAAGAGGACTGGTAGTAAAATTTGGAAAGAACTCTATGAGATAATGTACAATGAAATCAGCAGAATTGTATGCACACTTATTATGACTATGTCCCTCCCACCTACCCACCCAAAAAAGAGAGTATAAGAAGGGGAAGGAGGGAAGAGAAAGCACAGTTGTAAAGTCAACTGTGATATAAGGAAAGAGCATTGGATTTGGTTTAGAAGGCCAGGTGTCAGTTCTGATTTTGCCACTTACAATCAGTATGAATAGAGTTGTTTTCATGTTGCCTGTCCCATTAGACTGTGAGCTCCTTGAGGGCAGGCACTGTGTTTTTACCTTTCTTTGTATCCCCAGAACTTAGCAGAGTGCCTGACACATAGTAAGCACTTTAAAAATGCTTCTTTATGGAATTTTTGATCTAAGGCAAGCCATCAACATTTCTTAGCCTTCTTCCTCATCTCCAAAATGCATATAGTTAAGTAGTACTTGTACCATCTACTGCACAAGAATTACTGAGGATGAAACAAAGTAATTTGGGGCAGTTCTTTTCAGTCCTGAGACATTACATATAAATGGGAGCTATCATTACTACAGATAACAGAATCAGTGTAAGATTTGTTTAGTCATTTCAGTCTTGTCCAACTCTTTGTGACGCCTTTGTGGGGTTTTCTTGGCAGAGACATGGGAGTAGTTTGCTATTCCTTCTCCAACTCATTTTACAGATAAGGAAACTGAGGCAAAAAATTAAGTGACTTGCCCAGGGTCACACAGCTAATAAGTGTCTGAGGCTAGACTGGAACTTAGGCCTTCCTGACTCCATGCCTGGTGCTCCATCCACTGTGCCACCTAGCTACCCTATCAGAATAAGATATTTTACCTTTAAAGAAAATATAGCTGATCAAAATAAGCATGGTATCACTATCCAGTTCCTTGAATAACTGATCAACGTTCCCCAAAGTTTTATTCTTGACAAAATCGTTGACCTGTTTCTTGGCTCTGGTTGAATTTTGAAAGTCTGCAGAAGAAACTTCTACATTATAATAATAATGCTTTATTTCTGTCATGAATGTCTCCATAAGTTCTATCTGAGAGTCAAGAAATAGGACATTTCCCATGTTCATTTCCAGGCCAGTATCTGAATTGTTGAACAGATAGATGAGATATTGAAAGCCCTGGTGGATGGCCAAATCTGGTGTCTCCGTCAGGTTGAATCCCAGGCTTTCCAAGAGCTGAGTACGTGTGGCTGACCTGGCCCCAAGGGACAGCATAGCCAAAGACATGGAAATACTCACTGGGGAGATGAAAACATTTCTGTCTGGGGCTCTTGATATCAAATTCTTATATAAGCGAAATGCAAAGTCAACATTCACTGGTGCCAGTCTACGGTGGGAAGGATTTTCTTTCTCAACAGGGTGTTCTTGGGGATGGAGGTCGTGGTTGCCGGTCTGGGAGACACAAAAACTGAGGGCTGAGAAAATGAACAGACACTTGTACAGGTTGGAAGTCATTGTCCAGGGTGACTGGGTCCTGAAAAATTAGGAAAATTTATTAGAAGCAGTGTGAAATAGAGGAAGTAGCACTGAGTTTAGAGTTAGAGGTCCTGTGTTCAAATCTGAAATCTGCCTCTTCTTTAAATTGGGCCATGTCTCTGGGCCAAAAATGGGAATTTGGATTCAAAAAAACCGACCCAGTGTGACTTCTGAGAAAAGATGTTTTAGAATCTAGATGGAAAAGTTGCAATGGGATTATTTGATATAACTTTTAACACTTCATATTCTACCTTGTTGTTGTTCATTTAGTTGTGTCTGACTCTGCGACCCCATGGACCATAGTGTGCCATGCCCTTCAATCCTATCCGTCGGGTTTTCTTGGCAAAGACACTGGAGTGGTTTGCCATGTCCTTCTCTGGTGGATCACCTTTTGTCAGAACTCTCTGCTGTGACCTGTCAGTCTTGGGTAACCCTGAAGGGCACAGCTCATAGCTTTATTGAGCTACTATGCATGTCCCTCCTCCACAGTAAGGCAGTGATCCAGGAGAGGACTTGAGTACTTACTACTAATTTATAGTATGTTTATGGTGTGTGTAACTAGCTAGGTGTCCTTAGGACATTCAACTGACTTCTCTGGCTCTATCTTGTCTCTTTATCTATCAAATAGGGATGATGAGTCCTGCCCTTACTCTCTAATATACAAGTTGTGAGAATGAAATGAAGAGGTGGAGGGAGGGAATAAGCATTGATACAGCACCTACTGTGTTCTAAGTGGCAGTGCTAAGTGCTTTATAAATATTATTTCATTTGATCCTCACAACAACCCCGTGAGGTAGGTGGTGTTTTTATCCGTATTTTACCGTTGAGGAAAACAAGGCAAGGATTAGGTTGCTTGCCCAGGGTCACTTAATCCTGCCCAGAGATTATAAGTGTTGGAGGCTGGATCAGAGGTCTTCCGGACTCCAAGCCCAGAGCTCTATCTACTGTGCCATCTTGCTGCCTGTAACTAGTATTTTGTAAAGTTGAAAGTAATGAAAAATGAACCGTTACAATGTTGTTATAATTCGCATAAGAAGACAGTAAGGTTTAATGGAAAGTGAGATGGGCTTGAATTCAGAAGTCCTAGGTTCTGCAATTCCATTTAATTCAGCAAGCCACCTGTCAAAATTTACTGTGTTTAGGGGCAGCTAGGTGGCACAGTGGATAGACTACCAGCCCTGGAGTCAGGAGGACCTGAGTTCAAATGCAGCCTCAGATACTTGACACTATAGCTGTGTGACCCTGGGCAAGCCACTTAACCCCGATTGCCTCACCCAAAAGAAAAAAAAAAAGACTTACTGTGTTTAAGGCACTCCAATAGCCTCTGGTTATATGAAGAAAAAAATGAAGTCATGCTTGCCCTTAGGAAGCTTACATCCTATTTGGCTGGGGGAAGCACATGACTGGGAAAGGCCTTCTTATAAAACTGTGCATACCCTTTGAACCAGCAATACCACTACTAGGTCTGTATCCCAAAGAGAGAAAAGGAAAAGGAAAAGCACCCATACATACAAAAATATTTATTTCTTTGTGGTAACAAAGAATGAAATTGAGGATGATGATCATTGGGGAATGGCTGAGCAAGTTGTGGTATATGAATGTAATGGAATACTATTGTGCTATAAGAAATGATGAACAGGCCGACTTCAGAAAAACCTGGAAAGACTTATATGGTCTGATGCTGAGTGAAGTGAGCAGAACCAAGAGGACTTTGTACACAATAACAGCCACGTTATGCAATGACTAAGATTGTTAAACTGAACCTTTCTCAGCATTATGAGGATCTAAGACATCTCCAGAGGCCTCGGGATGGAAAATGCTGCCCACATCCAAAGAAAGAACTATGGAAGTCAAATCACTCTCACTTATTTTTACCTTCTGTTGAGTTTTGTTTCATCTTTCTGATGGTTCCTCCTATTGGTTTTAATTTTTACTTACGACTTCACTAATGTGAAAATATGTTTAATGGGTATGTAAATGTAAAGTCTATATCGGATTGCATGCCGTCTTGGGGAGGGTGGTGGGGAGGAAGGGGGAGAAAAATTTTCAACTCAAAAGCATATGGAAGTGATTGTTGATAAATCAAAATAAATTAATAAAAAGAATTAAAAAACTCTAAGGCTCAGAGAAATTAATTTACTTGCCCAGTGCTAGCAAGTAACTGAGGAATTAAACGTGAGTTTTCCTGACTTCCAGTCCAGCATTCCATCCACTGTTCAGTGGTTTCAATTTGTTTGACTCTCCATGTCTCCATTTGGAGTTTTCTTGGCAAAGATGCTGGAGGGGTTTGCCATTTCCTTCTCTAGTTCATTGCCCAAGGTCACACAGCTAGTAAGTGTCTGAGGCCAGATTTGAACTCAGGGAGATGAATCTTCTTGACTCCCTCCAGGCCAGCACTCTCAAATGCACCACCTAGCGGTCTGAGTATATGTACGCATACACATATATATGTATATACATACATACACACACACACACATACATACATACACACACATACATACATACATACATACATACATACATACATACGTGTCACACAGCTAGTAAGTGTTTGATGCTAGATTTGAACTCAGGAAGATGAATCTTCCTGACTTCAGACTAGGCATTCTATCCATGGCACCACCTAGCTGCTTCTCATATACATTGCAATCTATTAAGAGGGTACTCATAGCACTATGATACAAGACCAATTAGGTTGAAGGAGAGATGACTTCTGGCTGGGAGAAATCAGGGAAGGTTTCATGGAAGAGGTGGCTTTTGATCTGGACTTTTAAGAATGGCTAGAATTGGAGCAGCTAGGTGGCACAGTGGATACAATACCAGCCCTGGAGTCAGGAGGACCTGAGTTCAAATCTGGCCTCAGATACTTGACTCTTACTAGCTATGTGACCCTGGTCAAGTCACTTAACCCCATTGTCTAGCAGGGGGAAAAAGAATAGCCAGGATTTCAACAAGTAGAACTTCAGAGAGTGGGTGTTCTAGAAAGAGGGAAGAACCTCAATTGGTTCTCCATTTCCCCCAAAAAAAGAGTGTGAGGAATATCCTGGACATGTTTCCATGTCCAGGGCAATGGAATGGACAGATTTTGACGGTTCTGATAAAAAGTTCCTTTAATGAAAACATGTATTACAATTGCCTGGGAAAAAGTGATCCCCATGGGGGTAAAAAGCAGTCCAGTAAGATAAATGCTCCTGACAAAGAGATTAAAAGCAGTTGGTAATGAAGTTTCTTGGGGTCTCAGCAGCTCCCCAGCAAAGTCCTCATATCTTCCTGGACCAAAGGGTCCACAGTTAGGGGACAGATCAATCTATCTGGGGGGAAAATCGACTCAAACTGGCCTGGATCTGCTGCATTGCCTCTTGACTCACAACAGCCCCATTTGGTGATATGAAAGTGTTTGAGGAAACTAAAGCCCCCTTAGTTCTACTGGTGTCCCCTCCCACAACAAGGCACTAAGCCCCACCCACACCCATATCCTCCAGCATATGGCCATAGCCTGCCCCTTGGTACAAATCTCTGTTCTAAGGATGAAGTGAGCATCCCACATCTCTAGGAGTGAGCCCCAAGCAGAGAAGAACTGGCTTCTCTGCTCTCACTAGGCAGCCCAACAATTAATTTCCCAGGGTCCCCAGGACAGTCTTCTGAACTGTCCCCCTCTAAGTACTAGAAACAGAGGCTATGCCCTCTGGCACCTCGCAGAAGCCAACTTTGGCCATCTTAGAAACTGCTTCTCAATCATGCATAACTAATTTCCAATTTCATTGCATCAAGCCTCAGAATTAGGAAGCTAAGTGACAGCTGTTTAATTAACTCCTTAAGCTGATTAGACAGCATTACTGAAATCCCCCAAGGAGGAATTTTGAAACTGTCAAGAGAACCCACGGCCATGTTAATGCTGCTGTTTAAATTTAGTAAGCTTCTAAACTAATAAACAGTATACACTTGACATCTTCCAGGATGTAGTTCAATTGGGATTTTTCATCTCTTTACATTACCAGCTATGGAGCATGTCTGAGAGTAACAATAATAATAAGTCTTTTGGAATTTGCAAAGCAAGAGTGCAAAAGAACACGGACTCAAAGAGAGGTTTCTCCAGGCTGGTGTCTCATGTGCTTGCTTATAATTATATCAGGAGAGTATTAAGCTTTGGCCCTCACCTAATAGGCTCCACCCCTTTCCCCCACTCCCATCCCTGACTTGTTGGTAAGATAAACAATCATTTATTAATTAAATTGCTTCCATGAACTTTAATCATAAGGCTGGGACACTGAAAGGGGTAAAATCACTCTGGACTTGATCAACTGGGATGTATTTATTAACATTCTCTGTTTTCCAGGAGTTTTTCCTAAGTACCTGGGATACCAAGTCAGAAATGAAAATTAAAAAAAAAAAAAAATATATATTATATATATATATATATATATATATATAATATATATATGTATATATATATATATATATATATGTAATAATCCCTACCATTAAGAAGAAGCTAGGGCAGCTAGATGGCACAATGGATAGAGTTCTGGCTTGGAATCAGGAAGATCTGAATTCAAATCCAGCTTCAGAAACTTCCTAACTGGGTGACTTTGGGCAAGTCACTTAACCTCAACCTCTGTTTGCCATTGGAGGAGGAAATAGCAAACTGCTCCAGTATCTCTGTTAAGAAAACCCCAAATGGGTTCATGAAGAGTCAACATGAATAAAACAACTGAATAGCAACATTTCCTTCACCACCCTCACCCCACCCCAGCTATTCAGTTCTCCTTTTATGTGTTGTCTTCCTCTATTAAAATGTAAGCTTCCTGAAGGCAGGGTCTGTCACTCTTATTCTTTGTATTTCTATCCCCCAAATTTAGCACAATGTCAGTCAATGCCTGCTTGTTGCCCGACTGTCTGCCATTCTAATACAGCAAAGTGGTGGTCAGGGAAAGGTGTTTGGGATGGTTGCTGGTTTGGGCGACAGGGGGCCATGAGAGGCGATCAAGCTGCAGACT